CCCCCCCCCCCACCAAACAGAAATTTTAATTTGAAAATAAACTGCAAACATATTTGACCAGTCTCGGATACTGTTAAGATCAGCGTGAGTAGTAAGCCACATATAAGGGATAAAACTCATTATCATTATATTTCACAACAACTTGACCATATCTTCCAATTGTGGTGTCGTATGGACGAGGGGGTATTATGGTTCCACAATTTCCTTGGGTTTCCCTTCCTACCAGGACTGTTGCAATTATAAGAGCACGCATGCTTCCAGCTAACTGGTTACAATACATGTTTGCATAATCCTCACTGGGTGAGAAACTCACACCCTGCCCGAATTTCGTGCGCGTAGATCGTCTCCAATCCAAGTTATTCTGACAAATTGACAAGACATTCAGTTCTCCTGTAGCATGGAACAGTTTCTTCTCAGTGACATCAGCTCCTCGATTAAGACATTCCTCCCTTTTCAACAAATAAGAACCCCAAAGAAAAGGGTTCTGTACTCTCACCATCGACGATATTTTATTTCTAAAGGTCGTGTCGATACTCTGAATGACACTATCGAATTCACTGCAACATTTAGAAAGAGGAACGAGCTCTACTTCTTTAGTAGGCGACATGTAATTCCATGTTGAAGGCTTGTGCCTACCCAGAACACATGAAACGAGAGATGGCTCCATCTCGATTCAGCTCCTGAAAGATTAAACCATTATGATTACGCATTCGCCAAAAGTCTGATTCGGGAAATTTGAATTATTCGACAGAAAAGTTCGTACTGGGCAACCGCATCAAATCTTAATTGACTAAAAATGGGGGGGGGGGGGGCCACGCACACGAGTATGAACGTTCGAACGTACATGCTGTATTTCAGCTCTAGCTTTCAGTTTAGTCTTACTAATGGACTGAAGGTCGAAAAATATATATGCGGGTTTCCTTATGTCGAAACAAAAACTCACGATTCAATGATTTAGGGTGTTTATACCACTCACAATCTTTCGCCCCACCACTACTTTAAAACATTTACGTTTTGGCTGATTAAATTGTTTTTCATCAATGCCCTGCCATTACCTTTACTGCACATATAGTTTGATCGCAAGCATAACTTCCGACCCCAAACTTAACAGCCCCCTCAGCCAAAAATCGAATATATTCAGTTGTTATGTCATCCATAAACAGGGCAAACCTCAATAAACGTAAATTGTTTATATTGGCAACAACACAGAAATTCAATAGGAACGAAAATGAGGCAATAATTAATTAAAGATGGAAAGGAGACCGAATCCTCATTTCTGTTCCAAATAAATGCAGAATAAGACGAAGTACCACTTTTAATATAGAACACAATATTTCTCGGGCCTTTATCCAGACCTGCAAAAATGTTTTTCTCTTAACCAAAACACATTCACTGTGCCGTATTCTTGGCTCACATTTGCGGCAAATACTGATTCATTATGATGCACACCACTAACTGGCGGTTCAACATCAAGCGAAATCAAACGTGTTCATCCCAGCGCAGCAAACACTACACCAACAAAGAAATTAGACCTACTGATTATGAGGTTTAGATTATGTAAAGACACGGTCTTAACTACACGTAACACGGCGCTGAGACAGTTTTGAATATGATCATGATGTGTGAACATTTATTTTAATGAGCTACCCTGACATTCGCCTAGAGGGATGGAGTCTACTCAGTTCGAATTGACTACAACGTAATCGAGATTTGAAACATACTTAAAAAGAATTCAGTTTGTCCTGCTCGGTCTGCTAAGTCTTATTATTATATATGAAGTTATCCACGGTTCATTTGATTTTGCTTATTTTGCATTCAGTAAAATCGGAATCATACGTTCCAACAATCGATCACTCGCGTGAAGTCACACGAAGCAGATTTTGTTGTAAGAGTCCAGACCAACAATGTATTTAAAAACAAACACACAAATTCAATATTAAAAGATCTACATATAAAATCAGAACTTTTAATATAACGATGATTTAAACCCCCTATGAGATACCTCTCTGTAAGCGTACATGCGTCACAATACACGCATGGGAGATAACTGAAAGATGACAAAATAAATAAAAAAATTACATCAGTATATCCATACACAGGAACAGAAATACCTGGAGAGTTTTGAAATGTGGTGTTGGAGAAGAATAGAGAAGATCAGGTGGACGGATCGAGTGACCAACGAAGAAGTATTGAGGAGAGACAACGAGCAAAGAAGCATTCTGCAGGCGATTACACGAAGGAAAGCTAACTGGCTGGGACAACCTTAAACAAGGAAAGAAGATGACGTTCCAGGAATTAAAGCGAGAAGCCGAGAATAGGGACAACTGGAGAGCTCTTTTTGGGCAGAGCAATGGACCTGTCGTAAGACAGAACACTTAATAATAATAATCCATACACGAAAAGGGGCGAACATTACAAGAGGAAACACCATATTTGGCCACACACTACGACGAAAAGTGTGCCCACACTTTGCCTGTCCCACAAAAGTAAAAAACGAGACTAGAAAATGAGATAAAGACGTTTTTTCAAGAATGTCACCAACCAGAAAACTGCCCGTAAAACATGACGATGCTGATAAAATAAGGGAAAATTAATTACGACACATTTTGAAACATTCCTTAGAAATATAACCAGCATTATAAAAATCGCCTTTATATTGTGAGGTAACCAAGCCACTGCTGATCCAAATAGAAATTAAGTAGATATTAAAGGCAATGAATATTTGTCTTCAGTATCAATTAATTACCTACAGGGACGTAAGCTCAATGGAAAAGCGGCGTAAGGGACAAGTTTAAATATCACTTTACTCAGAAGATCAGCGGTGCTTGTAACCCAAATTTCAGCAGTATGTATATCGGTCAAGTAACCGATCGAGATTTCATGGGCTTGCCACCATGACTGTGTTAAAACGTATTCATCTTCCTGAGCAGACTTTTGTGTGTGACAAATACACGCGGATACAACTCTTACACAGCTTATGCCACGTAAATTTGGCTATAAATGACTTGTTAACTAGAAATGATGCAATTTACATTACCTTTAAAATACTGGTTTCTGCGTTGAGATCTTCCGCATATGACGCCCGTTCCTGCTCAGAGCACGGGGAATTACCTGGAATATACTTACTTGCAGGGCTGGCAACTGAAATCCACGGAGTCCTTGAAGGATGTTCTGGCCGTATAGCGGAACTGCGCTTCGTATGGTGCGAGCCCTGTAGCTTTGATTAGACACTAAACGATGATGTACCAACCAGAGAGATAATTTAACTTCAAACCATGTGGCGGATTATGCCTTATTTTTATTATATATATTCTTCACGGTTTCTCCTATTACAATATACATACATGTAAAATATGCACTCAATTTTTCACTTTTTTAAATTCTCACCTGAAGATGATAACGGCCGAAACATGTTATGTCATAGTGATATGTACTTACTTCTCTTGCGTGATATAATACTAGAATAGTTATTTTAGGAAGCTGTCACAGGATACAGTACTTTGAAATGCCAAGGACGTTACTGTCTGTAATATGCCACATATTCCGGATAAAATTCGTTATCCCGATATTTCACATACACACGTTTTCTATTCCCTGTTGTCGTGTCATACCCTTCGGCAGGTATTTTAAGCCCATACCGTCCTTCGTGACTCTTCCCCACCAGTACCCTGGCAAGAATTAGGGCTCGTTCGGTTCCAGCTTCAACATTGCAGTATTTGTTGGCATAATTGGCCAGGGGAGAAAAACTCACCCCGCCGCCAAATTTGGTTCGCTTCGTGCACCTCCAGTCCAGGTTATTTTGGGCAACAGACGGAATATTACTTTGAGCCGTTGCGTGGAACAATTCCATCTCCTTACAAGCTGAACCTAGACGAGCTTCATATTCGCCTTTCATCAACATGTAGCAGTCCCAGATATAAGGGTTCTGTATTCTCACTACTCTGTCTATGTGAACTTGAAGGGTGGATTGAACTTTACTTTTTACCTTCAAATATTCTGGACTGTTTGCGGGAAGCTGAACAAGATCCACTTCTCTATCAGGAGGCATGTACCTCCAAGTTGAAGGCTTGTGGCAGTCCAGAACATCTGACACTAGATATGATTCTTCTTCCTGTTCGTCAAAGTATTCATCTTCATCACATTCCTCCTCTTCTTCATCGAATTCCCCTTCTTCGTCGCATTCCTCCTCTTCTTCATCGAATTCCCCTTCTTCGTCGTACTTCTCCTCTTCTTCAACGAATTCCCCTTCTTCGTCGTACTCCTCCTCACCATACCCATCTTCGTCATAGCAATAATCGGATTCTCCACATTCTTCTTCTTCACTGCTAGATAAAAATTCACATGACGAAGGCGAACGCCAGTTCCAGAAACTTGGCACGCTAGCTGCCATTTTGATGAGAAGGTAGCTAATCCTGAAATACAAAATATCGTTCAAGAGAAGCACAACTGAAGTCAATTTTGTTTTTTACAGCAGATCAAACTGTGGCCGGAAGAATTAGGACATAGAACATGATTCAGACATTCACCCAGGTTTGAAGAATGAGAAATTTAGGGTTCAGAAGGAACACATTTCTTTTTCCGGGGATTCTATTATGGTCTGTGTGTTCCTTGATTCTGCTGTGGAAGCGGTTCCCAAACTCTTTTAGTCTGAATGTAGTATCTTGATGTGAACAAGGAAATGCGTAGGCCCCTAAACCTGCAAAACATCTTAAAATGCGACTTAATTACTAACAAACGTTGACACCTAGGAAGCGGCTTCCATGTCGTGTATAAGACGCCCTATTCTCTCTGCAATGCTCAAGTCCGCGTGACCAATACAATATGACGCGTAGTCGCTGTACAAACTACCGACAATCAGTATAGGGCCCGTAAAGTTTGTATACGGTGATTAAAATATTTACATCATTTGTGATTTACGAGATTATTCTTGTTTCAATTGTTACGTATTCATTTTCTGCAACCTCATGAAATTTTGTTACGCAAACGTCCAACCAAAATAATAGAAAAAAAGAGTCTTAAAAAGAAGTGGAGTGTGAGAAATGCCACATTTATGGAGCCATTTTGTGTTACAGAGAAGATGTAGATGACATCAGTACCACAATACTTTGCTTCTGCGTAAGGGTGCATGGTTTAAATATTAATCAGGTTACCAGCTATCCTAACTCGAGTTTTTCATGGTTTCCTCAAGTACCTCCACGCAAATACTGGGACAGTACCTACAAGAAAGGCCATGACCCCTTCCTTCCAAATCCATCCCATCCCAACACATCATCATTCATAACCTTTCTTTCAGCTTTTTAAACAGTGTGTAATTCCTGTAATGAGCATTTTTGCTTTTACGTCATCCGTGTATACCTACTGCCATCTGTTGAGAGACGTATAAACCCACTGTGTTTGAATTTCCCACCAACGTATGATTACAGGAAGTATGGCGAAAACAGAATCAAGTAACTTTTTAGGATCTGAGGTTTTCGCCCTAATGATGGAGGCAGCAAGGATCTCTAAAACGTCGGTAAACTTCCTCAGACTACACGGCACAACAACCCAGCAGACAGCTATCTTCATCTCTAGGAACGTTTTAATGATGTCGTAATGAACTACGTCACTAAATGCACTAAGCCATCCACATTCAAGGAGCAGGTAGCCACCTTCGTGCCCTCGACAAAGTGTACATGGTTCTCTCATACCTCCAAGTAAGAAGTAATTTCTTCAGCTGCACTACCACAACTTCAATAGGGATAATGGTTTCACGCTGAGCCGCGCCTGGTATCCTGGCACAAAACTGCTTTCTGCCCGGACGGCCGAGCCAGTGCAAGCGATCACTTGACCTCGTCTGCCAGTTCCTATTGGTCAGCGCGAAACAAAGCAACAGACGGGCCACCAGCAACACGATGCTACTACCTGCCGTCAACAGCCAGTTCCCATCGTCGAGCGTGCTACGTAAGACCAGTTCCGTTTCCCAGCTGCCCTGAGGACGAGAGCAGAGATGGCTCTCGAAACGTTGGCGGAAGAAATGGTTTATTCACCATTCAGTCACCTGACGCGGCTTCTTGTTCATCAATGTTGAATGTTGGCAACACCTATGATCTACGACGTAACGTATGTAGTGTGCTGTCATCTATCGGCATGTCGTATTAACTACCGTAAGAGCGATCTGGTGATTATAATCGGTATTATGACATGAATCTAGCCACTACCAAGGTCGGTTCTGAACATCATCACCATTTGCGTCAGAGGCCATTTTTGGACTTTACCCACCATCAGAGGGTGTCGAAAGAGCAGTGTTTCAAAAGCTGTTTTCTACTTACATCTTCATATGACAAGAGAAGATATGCCTAATAATCTGTTGGAGCTCCATCACACGAAATTCTAAAACACTGTTATTTAACCTAGGTGATGTATAAGGTAAAATAAACAAAAAAAATTTCACATTTGATACACCACTGTCAGAAATCTTAAAATTTGGTTTCTCTACTGTCTACATAAGACAATGATATGATATTTGATTTGTATGTAAATGGAATTCTGTTACGTCGGACTGGATGTCAATGTTAGCACGTTATGGATATGTAACAGCATTTAAAAATGTTCAGAAATTGTCTTATTAGAGCTGCTACGAACGTAGGCCTAATTAAAACAAGAACTTTCTGGACATAACCAGTCTTAATTTTTGTTAAAAAATCTTGTTTCAAGGGCTGGATGTCTCCGTGCTCAGGTCTCGTGCTCTGAGCCATAAATTTTAATAAAAATCAAGACAATAGATAATGTCTAGAAAAGTATTTTTTATAATGCACTATCGTCACAAACCTTCATATTGCAGTTGCCATAATTTGTTCGAAACGGAATTTACTATAAGGGATAGTGGATGAATAATATAACTAGATACAGATGCAAGGTCGGTGTTTCGAAATTACATAATTCAATATCAGTTTTATGAGGAAATTTAATAATGGGCGTTAAGTGTAACTTTAACGGAACTTCGGGTATGCAAAGTGACAGATTCGGGGTTTTTCTTTTTGCATGCTCAACCAGCAAAGGAGTTGAACTTAAGCGCATTTGGAATATAAAGCTGATAAGTTCTTTGGAGGCGGGAGGCAAGATAATAAATTTACAGTTCCAATGGTAGTTTTCTGAAAGTTTAACAAATAAGAGAAATTTATTATGTCAGCACGGTTATTATTACAAACATCGAATTAGTCTATTTCTTACGGAGATATTTATGCTTATTCTAAACATGTTCTTGTCTGTTCCCAAACTTTAACCCGCAATTCTCATTTGATAAAATTACAGTTCCTTGATAACTTTTAAATTGGATTGCCGAATCAGCCAATATTTTAACTTACTACATTATCTCTTTCAAAACTTATAGCACATTAATACATTTTCCAAATGCGTTGAAGTTTAAAACGTTCTCTTTCGTCCATCTACATATTATTATTTTTTAGTTTTCACAAAATGTACGGGAAAATTATTCAATCAAATTGCCGAGTGTTATGGCAGCCTTCATTGCAGACACTTCCAACCTTCACACAATCATATGTTGAATGAGTTGAAAATCTATCACAGATGAATGTTTGGATTGCAACGAAATTAACGTTTAACCTAATTTTAAAACATTTCAACCTTCATAAATAATATTTTATTCACTATGATATACATATTTACTTGTGTTCTAATGTAAATGATAATGACGCGATGAATAATTTAAACCAAGAGTGAACTTAAGAGCTTTTTAATTTGTGGATCACACTTCGAACACCCTAAGCTTTCATGGGCCAAAAATAATACATTAATTCGAAACTGATAATTATGAATAGAAGAGTAGTGTTTCTGAAGTTTGTTATACAAAGTGTTGCTGCACACAATTCCATCCTTGTCCTCTCTTCCGTATCGAGAGCCGCAGTTTGTCAACCTTTACCTTAAGCGTTAAACTTATGAGTCATCCATCAGTTCGTATAAAGAGCCTGTGGATCCTAGTCCTAATATGGGCGCTAGACTGAATTAACGACTTTGGCTGACGAACTACAATGGCCAGTTCATTGAAAGTGTATCGAACACACTTCGTCCTCTGGTAGATTTTATCTCCACAAATTGCAGTAGTGCAGTATAACACTGCTTTTAATATCCAGGGCTTTCTGCATCTCAAGCCAAAACTAATCAATCATAGGTTTTCACCTCCAATGTTTAAGTTAAAAATATAGTTACTGCAAAATATATTGAAAGATTTAAAAGAAATAACAGTTAACACGTTGGTAACAATGTAATATAAATGGTTTACAATATCTGAAGAACATCTGTAAAAAAAACTATCATACTACAATCAATGACCGTCTTAATATGACAAAACCTTGTACTTTGGTTTGTGATTAACATATTCAAATCTGATTTGATATGACTTTTCCCTACTTCTGAGAAAGTGCCTCACAAGTCTCACGTATCAGGAGTACGAACATTTAAAATTCATTTCCAAGATGGATAAATATCATAGCAAGATGATCAGGAAGCTGAAATTCTAACTGTTCTTGTTGTACAGACAGTTCCTTCTTCAAAACATCATAAATACGCATAAAAGTAATTTTACAAAGAGTAAACCTCAACTATTTGTTAGACGATCCAGAATTTTGTCCTTGTCGATCGATCGATCTATATGTACAATTGGAACATCATCGTAATCAAATTCCAAGAATTGTCTTATATTAATAGTACCAGCATCACCATATGGGCTGTAAGACTCCATTTCATTTCTAAAATAATCATTTTAATAAAACTACTTTAAAAGGCACTCAATAAAGAGCAAAATTCAAAAATAAGTTTTTGTACGAGAAGAGGTAGGAGTCAATCAGACGTCTGCCGGCAGGCTATTACCAGATTTCTGAACCTCCCATTTGTTGAGTCTCCTGAGAGGATAACAGAGAAAAGCAGACACTAGGATGAGACTACCAGATAAGTAGAAGGAAGCGTCATAACTGCCGGTGGCGTCCATAAATGAACCTGAAATTGAAAAGGCACGTGGTAAGAACGAGGACTTGTATTTAACGCCGATGCCGAGCAGGTTAATGTAGCGGCAATAGCCTATTAAGTGTATTCGTGAGAATGAAGGCTCTCGTAATATCAGTTTTACCATTAAACACAGCTTTTTCATTTATAAGTTTTAGCATAAACCGTATTTATTTTAGTTTAAAGAACTGAGTTATTTTTAAATACAGAAAGCTGGTCCAGACGTGAAAGCATGTGACAGCCTTTTTAAAATAACTTACGAACTAACATGGAGGAAGAACTTCCAAGTAATTTTTCAGAAAAGTGGCAATGGCACCTTCCACTGTACAAATGTCTTAAATTACCCGCCTGCTAAATTAAGATATTTGTGATTTGCCAATGGAAACGCCCACAGACACAAAAGCATTAACCCTTTAACTCTCGAGTTTTAACCGAGTTTGCACATGTCCCAACCCAGGTTTTTGATCACTCACTGAGATCGGTCAAAATCATACTTCTGTAGCACAAAATTCTTGTCAATCACCCGTATTGTACGTGGAATTACATTCTGTGGCTGTAACCTTCATTTTCATTTTCATTTTCATTTTCCTCTCGTTCTGTGTCGTCACATTCGACAATTTCGTCGATAGCAAAGTCATAATCGCTGTCTTAATAAAAGACACAATATCTTTACCCAAAACATTCAAAATCTCATCTTTAGTCATGTTATGTTTACTATTTGAAGCCTTTTTGACAGACAGCTGATAAGAAAAAATCACCTTCACACAAAAACATCGATATCTCAAGTGCAGCGATCGATAAAATTGTCTATTGTATGTAGAACTATTGTCAGATATTCCATCTAGTGGTAAACTATCAAACTATGACGCCAGAATATACTCGGGAGTGGGACACGACGCGATACTTCAATTCCGAGTATACTCGAGGTTGGGATGTAAAGGGTTAACCAGACATGTGTTATTTTAAATTAACAATAATCACAAAATATTAATAATGGAACAGAAACTCTGATCACTTTTTAAATATCTGGGTAAATAGTCAATTGATCATTTAGACTCGCATTTATATTGTGTCAGGGTTGCTCTGAACGCCCTACCTGCTAAAGGAGATCCTATTGCAGCGGCGACGCCTTGGAAGAGTAGCAGCAGACCAAAAGCATTCGTTAATTTGTCAAGTCCCATCAGGTCCACGATGAGGATGGACCTAAGAGAGGCGAAGCATGCTGCAAGGAAAGCGATTACTTGCTTTCAGTCACAAAGCAGACTTAATAGATTTACTAAACTAACGTTATGTATTTCCGGTTCGTGTTCTTCCTTACCCATGGCGAGTCCAAAGACGCTGGAGTAGAAGATTTGGTAGCCGAAGGAAAGTGAGACGCCGCTGAGAATTGTGGCGACGCCTCCGACGGTGAGGGCTACGTTGTTGATTAAGAGAGCGTCCACCCCCGGCAGACTGGACACGAGACCACACGCCACCCTGCCGATAGTATTGGTGATGCCTATCGTCGACACCAGCCAGATAGCCATCGTCGGCTCCATGCCACTCAACTCCGCACGGTCTGCGTAAGACAACGCAACATTTCTACTGACTGGCGAGTTTACAGCTACGTTAGGACGTGTTGGAACAAAACTTACTCTCTCACTGCAAATTTTCCGTCTTCATTTATCTGAGTAACGCGCGGTTAAGCCAGGTAATCGCCCTCGGACGGGTTTTTATTAGGACTTCCCTTATATTTATACACGTAACCAAAGAAACGTACGCTGAGTGTGCTTTGAACATGAGGCTAACCTGTAAGGTACATGAAGGGCACGTAGAAGCCCATCATAGTTATGAAGCCGCTGATGGACAGGAGCAGAAAGGTAGGCGACCTCAGAAGGGACATGTCCAGCATAGTGGCCAGTGTACGGCTTACTGCCTCTGGGCACAATTGGCACTTCTGAGACACCTCCTCCTGCACGTCCTTCTTGGAGGGAAGTCGCGTCACCGACATGTGGTAACCCACAGAACTGACCTGAAACAGGGCCTCTCGCTTAGGCCTACACCACACACAGAGACTGGAGGGCAGAACACCGGAAATGGATATGAAATGCAGGAGGTAGAAGGAAACAACGAGAGAAAGTTGGGGAAGAAGCAGGAAAGAAAGGGAGGGAGTTAATCTTTATCTTACAGTTTATTTTACGACGCTGTCAGTAGCTCAGACTATATAGCGTCAAATAATAGATGATGACTAAATGATGGCCTGGAAATAATAAGGAAGGAGGCGGAACTGCCCTAATTTAAGGCACTATCACAAGGAAATTTTGCTGGAGAAACTGAGGAAAATTACGATACACATATGTCAGGCTAGCCTGTCTCCGGGCCTAGATATAAACCTGCATCCCACCAGAATACGAGGCATGAGTACTAATGACTCGGCTTTGATGTTAGGTGAATTATAGAAATGAAGGAAAATAAATAAAGGGCGTAAGAGGGAAGGAAAAGTAAAAGAAAACAATAAGGGAAAGCCAAGAAGGTAATGGCGAGCGAGACAGAGAAGATCAAAATGATTTTGATCTTTTCTGTCAAACACATTATTAGAGAAATAGAGTTGTTAAAAGGGCGTCACCATCAAGCATGAAGTAAAGTAAAGTAAAGTTTGTCCCACTATACGCCATGTAGGCGTTTGGGGTGAGTGGAGGTGTAGTTCCTCTCTTCCTTGACCTCGGCACTAGATGGGGGTGAGTGGTCAGCATCACGCCCCGGCCGGCTTTACCCCCGGGAAAGGACCCCGGTATCCATTGTAGAGGAGGCTGGGTGGGCCCCAGAGATCAAGCATGAAGTAAAGGACTGAAATGGACACTAAAGACAAAATGGGTAACTTATACGACCAAAACAACTAGTCCATTTGACGGAACGTCAAAAACGCGTAAGAGACTGTCGTGGCACACACATTTTACAGGAAATTTGTAATGTGAGGAAGAAAATGGATTTGCCCAGTAGCAGATGATGGAAACAGAACTGAACTTAAGCGCAGTGCTTCGTGAATTAAAAGACTGAGTGTCATTTCCCTGTGCCAATGTCGATTCTATTCAATTGAAGCATTTTTACTTAAAAAAAACCGATTGTCATTCGATTCCTACATCTCTGTTTCTTCTTACCTGCAGGAAAGCTCAACCGCCTATATTCTTACCTGTGACGTGTACTGTGGCAGCTTGTGTAAGCTTGCACTGAAGAATATATCATCCCTGTAGAAGGGTCTGACTCCTACTTCTTTGGACTTGGAGCTGCATTCAGACGAGGATCTAGTCCGTTTCCCTGCCTTACTAGCTGCCTGCACAACCGTAGTCCTGTCCCCATTCCCCAACATGTCAGTGTGCTCGTCTGACCCTCGTCTCTCCTCCTGCACTGGTTTAAGCAGCTCCGTGAAAGTTGCCACTTTCTTAATCGTAACTTCTTCGGGCACCTGGCCCACAACTAGGACTGGCTTACCTTCCTCTTCATGCTGAACTGCGTCCGGATAAGACGCCACACTCAGTCGCTTTTGGGATTTAAGCGGAGATGTGTCACTGGTATTACTATCGTAAAGTGCGTTGGTTTGTAGGTTCAGGGAATGGCTCGACAATCTCTGGAAGTTTGCCAGTGCCGTCGTGCTTCTAGTAAGGGCTTGAGCAGCTGTTGGATACATGTTGTTGTTGCTGGTTTTGTGAAAACGACTTCTGGGACCCGATTTTGACTCAGCCGCTGTGTTGTCTGCGAAACTTGAAACTGATTCGCATTTCCTCATTTGGTCATCTCGTGCCATTTTTATTCGTAGAAGCAGCGGTAATTCTTCGGCTGAAGATTTTTTATGTTCTTTGACATCGACGGTTCCTGCATCTGTGCATTCTATAGCGACTTTAATGGGATTCAG